CGTGGGCAAAATGTTCACACCTGAAAAGTGGCTTTGATATTTAAAGTCAACCTTGGATGTGTTTTTGTCCCATTCAATTCTTTATAATAAGAAAAATAATCTTGTCTGTTTTTCCCTTAAATAGATTTCAAGCAACTTTAATTTTTTAATTCTATTAGGGCCAAACAAGGCAGATATACGGGAATTGCATGCCCAAAATAGCAATTTAGTTATTATGTTATATTTGTGTGTGTTGCTTCCTTTGAATTCCTTAAAAACAAAATACTTGTATTTGCCCTCCAGATGTCTCATGGCAATTTTTGTTATTGGACTGCTGACTCATTTACTTATACGCAACATCTCTTTTTATAACCGGATTTCCAAAGGTAAATATCGGACAGCTGCCAAACAGTGTCTGTGAAATAGCTTAAAAACACTTTGACGAAATCTTTTCAAATTTAGATATGTTGTTTCCTGTGACTAAATGAAGGTCATGTTTGATTTTCACGATTTTAGCTTTTATCGTTGTTGAGTTGTAGAACTTAAAGTAGCAAAAAGTGATACTTAGAGTGTTGTCAGTGCAATAACTTGAAAATGCTTTGACGAAATCTTTTCAAATTTAGATATTTTAATTCCTGTGACTAAATGAAAGTCAAGTTCGATTTTCTTGATTTTAGCTTTTATCTTTGTTGAGTTGTTGAGCTTTAAGTAGGGAAAAGTGATACTTAGAGCATTGTCCTTGCAATAACTTGAAAACATTTTGACAAAATCTTTTCAAATTAGATATGTTGTTTCCTGTGACAAAATGAAGGTCATGTTTGATTTTCACGATTTTAGCTTTTATCGTTGTTGAGTTGTAGAACTTAAAGTAGCAAAAAGTGATACTTAGAGTGTTGTCAGTGCAATAACTTGAAAATGCTTTGACGAAATCTTTCCAAATTTAGATATTTTAATTCCTGTGACTAAATGAAAGTCAAGTTTGATTTTCTTGATTTTAGCTTTTATCGTTGTTGAGTTGTAGAACTTTAAGTAGGGAAAAGTGATACTTAGAGCGTTGTCCTTGCAATAACTTGAAAACGTTTTGACAAAATCTTTTCAAATTAGATATGTTGTTTCCTGTGACTAAAAGAAGTCAAGTTCGAATTTTACAATTTTAGCTTTTATTGTTGATGAGTTATAGACCTTTAAGTAGCTTAAAGAGTGATACTTAGAGCGTTGTCTATACAATTACTTGAAAAGGCTTGAATTAGGCCTTTAGTCTTTTATAGCTGACTATGTGGTATGGATTTTGCTCAATGTTGAAGGCCGTTTGGTGACCTATAGATGTTAATTTCTGTGTCATTTGGTCTCTTGTGGAGAGTTGTCTCGTTGTACATTATATCATATCTTCTTATTTTTGTTGAGCCTGCGACTTCTGTCGCAGAAAGCTCGACATAGGGATAGTGATCAGGCTGCAGCGGTGTTAACTAACTACTTTAAAGCTTTATATTTTATATGGAGGAAAACCTGGATGCTTCATACTTTGTATATAAATGCCTTATGTTATGAAGTTTCTGTCTGTCATATGTCCATTGTCCTTGACCTCATTTTCATGGTTCAGTGACTACTTGAAAAAAAAGTTCAGAATTTTTGTATTGTTAATTTCTCTCTTATTATGAGTAATTGGGCAAGGTCCTCATGCCTGCCAGACAGTTTTCATGTGACCTCGTCCTCATTTCATGGATCAGTGAACAAGGTTTAGTTTTCGTGGTCAAGTCCATATATAAGATAATATAAGCAATGGGTCTACTATATTTGGTGCATGGAATGATTGTAAGGTGTACATGTCAAACTGGCAGGTGTCATCTGACCTTGACGTTGTTTTCATGGTTCAGTGGTTAAAGTTAAGTTTTTGTGTTTTGGTCTTTTTTTCTCATATTATATGTAATAGGTCAACTATATTTGGTGTATGGAAATATTTTACAATTTACATGTCAGTCTGGCAGGTTTTATTATACGACCGCAAAAAATTTTTGTGGTCGTATATTGGTATGACGTTGTCATCGTCGTCGTCTGAAGACACATTGGTTATCGCACAATAACTTTAGTTTAAGTGAATTGATCTCTATGAAATTTTACCAGAAGGTTCAATACCACAAAAGGAAGGTTGGGATTGATTTTGGGGGTTATAGTACCAACAGTTAAGGAATAAGGGGCCAAAAATAAGCATTTAGTCTAGTTTCCAGACAATAACTTGTGGAACGGTGTATGGATTTCTCTGAAATTATACCACAAGTTTCCATACAACAAAGGGATGGTTAGGATTTGCATTGGGGGGGTTATGGCTCAAACCGTTTAGGAATTAGGGGCAAAAAAGGAGGAAAAACAAGGGTGTCCTGGTTAATGGACAAAAACTTTAGTACAAAACATAATTTAAAGCAGTGTAAGGGAGGTAATTCAAATACATCATTTGAATTACCTCCCTTACACTGCTTTTAAATTATGTATAAAGTAATGGTTAATGAACAATTAAGACAATTTAAAAGCAGTGTAAGGGAGATAATCCAAATACAATGTTTTGATTACCTCCCTTACACTGCTTTTAAATTATGTTTAAAGAAATGCATATTTATAAAGGAAGACGAGTAAAAATATCTGCAAATGCTGCATCTTGTTTTTTTTACAAAAAAATCCATATGAAAGATTTGACACCATATTTTAAATTCTATTATAAAATAGGATAAGTTAGCACTATGGTAAATTTAAATGGGTAATTATGGTTGCAAACTCCTTTGGAAATTTGAATTGAGGTTATGACCATATCTTGAGGGTAAGAATTTTTTTTGTTGGGGAGGGGGGTCAATGAGCAAAGTGTATTGCACAAAAGCAAAAAATTGAATATGAAAATTCAAATCATATAACCAATTCTAAGTTCTTTGACTACAGTTATTCTGTGTCAGAAACCTTTTATGTGTCGGGGCCTCGGTGGCTGAGTGGTCTAAGTAGTTACTACTGTTATCACTAGCCAATCAACACTGAGGTTGTGAGTTCGAACCCCGCTCGTGCAGGTGCACTCGAGGCCAATCTTAATTGACTAGGGTTGTCAGTTTTCCTATCGATGGTTGGTGGTTTTCTCTAGGCACTCCGGCTTCCTCCACCAATAAAAACTGGCCGCCACGAAATAGCCCAAAAGCGTAGCTTAAAAGTGGCGTTTAAACACCAAAAATAAAAATAAAAAAAATCAATCCTTTTATGTGTCAAATATTGAATTACAATCCAAATTCAGACCTGTATCAAGCGCGAATATTGCGTCCATTTTTGCCCCAACTGTTCAGGGTTGGACCTCTACGCTCGGCGAAGCAATTTATTTGACCTTGACCTCATTTTCATGGTTCATTGCTCAGAGTTAAGTTTTTGTGTTTTGGTCTGTTTTTCTTAAACTATAAGCAATAGGTCAACTATATTTGGTGTATGGGATAATTGTAAGGTGTATATGTCTGTATGGCAGGTATCATCTGATCTTGACCCCATTTTCATGGTTCATTGATCAATGTTAAGTTTTCCTGATTAAGTTTGTTTCTTAGATACTATAAGCAATAGGTCAACTATATTTAATGCATAGATTGATTGTGCATGTAAGGTGTACATGTCTGTCTGGCATGGTTCATCTGACCTTGACCTCATTTTCATGGTTCATTGGTCAATGTTAAGTTTTCCTGGTTAAGTTTGTTTCTTAGAAACTATAAACAATAGGTCAACTATATTTGATGTATGGAATGATTGTAAGGTGTACATGTATTTCCGGTTTGGTTTATCTGACCTTGACCTCATTTTCTTGGATCATGTTTAGTATTACTTGTTGTAAAGCTTTATATTTAGGATTATAAACATAAAATCAATGGTCATTAAAGTAGGCGAGACATTTCAGCGTGTGCTCTCTTGTTATATTAGATGAAAATCTTGTGATACTTCGAAGAAACTAGATGACAACTGTTTGAATGTGTTTCTGGAAAGTTTATGTAGTGACCACATGCCACAATATTCTATGGTTTCATATTAGATAAGGTTATAATCTCATAAACATATTTCTTTCATTATTGACTTCATGATGTTTGCCTACCAACCCCTGCTGAACAAATGTGTGTGTACATATATACTCTCTTAAATCCAACATTACCTCACTTATGACAAATAGGAGGTCAAGATTGATTTTGGCCTTTCCATTTCTGAACCCTACAAAAATTCATTTATTTTTTTTTACATGATCATGTTTTGGGGTCCAGATTTGCAAATACACACACATGTATCATTTTCATGCAGGAAAATCCAGTTTGCTGTCAATCTGACAGCCTCTTGTTTACATCTCTTTTGATCATAAATTTTATTAATGTAGGCAAAATAATAGCAAATGCTAATCAGTTTCCTATTCCAAATCTCAATTCACATTATACATCAAATTATCTTTAGATTTGCAGACCTTAGGCTAAGCTGTTGAGAAGGAGAGATATTTGTTCCTAGTATTATCTAATGCATTAATGAGATAAATTCCTGATAAATGCTGACTGCAGTATTTTCATCCTGAGAGTAGATCATCAAATATTTAGTGGATAAAGAGAAAGGACTTATCAGGCAAAATTAATTAATGGACCAATATATATTATTTAAAGTATATTTGAATAGATATTGAATAGAAATGATTGTAATAAGACATATTATTAGTTGTGGTTATTTCCCTTTGGTTATAAACAACAATTGGCTGATAATCATTGTTTGTTGGTACACATCTGTATTGATCATTTAAAAAAGGCAAGGTCATACTGAATGACTACTCTTTTGTACACATTGAGTGCAGTCTTCTGTTTGAGTACTTTACTTCATAATTACCTCTAACCCTATACAACAAAAACAATTGTTTGCATTCATTTGCCAAGTCTTTTCAAAAATGAACCTGGAAAAATCAGGATTGTAGCCTGCAGAACAAATTATATAACATACTTCTTCAACCTTATGATTAGGTGGCATTTGATATTTTGCTGGAATGTTGTGCTTTAATTTTGTGTTAATATATTCATATGTTTATAAAAAAAATAGGAGTTTTTAATAGCTGCTGTTATTGATCATTAAGCGAGAGAACACAGTGACTTTGTACTTATTTCTATCACTAAAAGTGCTCTCGTTTAGATACATCAATTATGATTTAAAGTTGGTAAGTGATTGCGTCATAAGATTGAATATTCAGTTATAAATGAATATGTGCTATGTACACTCAATCAATCTTAATTAAATCGTCAGAAGCAGATCTTATTAACCTTGATTTAATATCTATAATATTTTCTGATTCTATATCATCAGTGCTGTTTATTAGGACTAGTAACAATGTGTCGCTGAATAAAATATTGGGATTTTTGCGTCAAGATGTCTCAGTTGATTGAAGATGTATTTTAAATAAATTCCAATAACTCTGGAATTAACCAATTCATATGATGTGTCGTCATGTTGGAAATGAAAGACTGAAGATTTTTGCATCAGTACCTATTTTTTTTAATGAATATATCTGATAATTTTTCGTTATCTGTCGTGTTTTCCTTTAGAATGGATTTTTTGTGGTGACAGGACAATATCAAGCAATGATGCCCTTTACAACCGCAATGACTTGTATCCCCTCCAAAGGTCATTTAGCAACATGGAGAGTTACAGAGGGAAAATGTAAAATCATCTACCATGACAGTGAAGAGAGTCTTGTAAGTTCTTTTATTCTATTTTAGATTAACAAAGAGGGTCTAAATGACTACTGTACTTTAACAGTAACTGCTGTACTTCTAACAGTAAAGTTTGCAATAAAAGAGGGTCTAAATGACTACTGTAGTTTAACAGTAACTGCTGTACTGCTAACAATAAAGTTTGCAGTAAAAGATGGTATAAATGACTACTGTACTTTAACAGTAACTGCTGTACTTCTTACAGTAAATTTTGCAATAAAAAAGGGTCAAAATGACTACTGTACTTTAACAGTAACTGCTGTACATCTAACAGTAAATTTAGCAATAAAAGAGGGTCTAAATGACTACTGTACTTTAACAGTAACTGCTGTACATCTAACATTAAAGTTTGCAATGAAAGAGGGTCTAAATGAATACTGTAGTTTAACAGTAACTGCTGTACATCTAGCAGTAAAGTTTGCAATAAAAGGGGGTCTAAATGACTGCTGTACTTAAACTGCAACTGCTTCTTACACTAACTGCTGTACTTCTAAGTTCTTACAGTAAATTAGTTTGCAATAAAGGGGGTATTAATGATTGCTCTACTTGTAACAGTAAAGTTTTCAGTAAAAGAGCATTTTAATGATTGCTGCACTTCTAACAGTTCTTAAGTGTTGTTCTAACAGAGGGTCTAAACGACTGATGTACTTCTAACAGTAATTGCTGTACTTCTAACAGTAACTGCTGTACTTCTAATAGTAACAGCTGTACTTCTTACAGCAAATTAGTTTGCTTTAGAGGGGGTTATTAATGATTACTATACTTGTAACAGTAACTGCAGTACTTTTAACAGTAAAGTTTGCAGCAATAGGAAGGTATAAATGACTACTGTATTGAAAATAGATACTGTAAATTCAGAAATTATTGCAAGGTTTTTATTAATGCGAATAATGCGACTGGGTGACTATCGCAATAATAAGAAGTCGCATTCTGATGTCAGTTACATATATCTGTATGCAGATTTTCATGATATTGAAATAATTAATCTTGAAATTTTGTCCATTCTTGAAAAATCCCAATAATAAATGCACGCAATAATTTCTGAACTTACAGTATATAAGAATAGTTTGTTAATCTGTTTTTACTTGGACCTTTATAAATACTACTAAATTTAATGTATCTACTTGTTTTTTTCATGCCCCCGTTGTAGGCAACGGGGGTTTTTAAATACCCTTGACCGTCCATCTTTCCATCCTTCCGTCTTTCTGTCCGTCAGTCCTTCCATCTGTCCGTCTGTCCGTCCCATTTTCGTTGCAAAGCTTGAGCGGTGGCATTTGTGTCCTCAGACACAATCTTCTTTTATTTAAATTTTGTAAATGTTTTTGTATTACATGGGACCTTGATTTTGCCCTTTTCGCACTTTAGGGACCTTTTTTCAAAGAATTTTATATTAGCCCTGCATTATGCTCTTCTGTTTGGCTATATATTTTGTGATGTAGTCCATTTTGACTGTTCTCACCATGTTTTATTGCAATTTTGTTGTGTATCTTTGTATTCACACCTTATATTTCATGCTGGTTTTTATACGACCGCAAAAAAATTTTTGTGGTCGTATATTGGTGTGACGTTGGCGTCGTCGGCGTCGCCGTCGTCATCGTCATCGTCGTCGTCGTCCAAAGACACATTAGTTTTCACACTCTAACTTTAGTTTAAGTGAATGGATCTCTATGAAATTTTACCATAAGGTTCAATACCATCAAAGGAAGGTGGGGATTGATTTTGGGGGTTATGGTACCAACAGTTAAGGAATTAGGGGCCAAAAAGGGGCCAAAAATAAGCATTTTTGTAACTTCCAGACATAAATTGTTTGTAAGTGTATGGATCTCCCTGACATTGTATCACAAGGTTCCATATCACAAAGGGAATGCTGGGATTGATTTTGGGGGTAATTGCCTTCAAATTTTAGGAATTAGGGGCCTAAAAGGGGCAAAAAACAAGCATTTTTCTAGTTTCATGACAATAACTTGTGTGTAAGTGTATGGATCTTTTTGAAATTGTACTAAAAGGTTCCATATCACAAAGGGAAAGCTGGAATTGAGTTTGGGGGTAATTGCCCAAAAAGTTAAGGAATAAGGGGCCAAAAAGGGGCCAAAAAGGGGCCAAAAATGAGCATTTTTCTAGTTTCCAGACAATAACTTGTGTTCAAGTGTATGGATCTCTCTGAAATTGTACTTCAAGGTACCATACCACAAAGGGAAGGCTGGGATTGATTTTGGGGGTAATTCCCTCAAAATTTTAGGAATTAGGGGCCATAAAAGGGCCAAAAAACAAGCATTTTTTTCTAGTTTCAGGACAATTACTTGTGTGTAAGTGTATGGATCTTTATGAAATTGTACTGCAAGGTACCATATCACAAAGGGAAAGCTGGGTTTGAGTTTGGGGGTAATTGCCCTAAACGTTTAGGAATTTGGGGCAAAAAAACAAGCATTTTTGTCGAGGCTTCGACTTTAGTCGAAAAAGCGAGACATAGCGATCCTACATTCCGTCGTCGTCGGCGGCGGCGTCCACAAATATTCACTCTGTGGTTAAAGTTTTTGAAATTTTAATAACTTTCTTAAACTATCCTTGATTTCTACCAAACTTGGACAGAAGCTTGTTTATGATCATAAGATAGTATCCAGAAGTAAATTTTGTAAAAATAAAATTCCATTTTTTTCGTATTTTACTTATAAATGGACTTAGTTTTTCTGTCCAGAAATATTACATTCACTCTGTGGTTAAAGTTTTTAAAATTTTAATAACTTTCTTAAACTATCCTGGGTTTGTACCAAACTTGGACAGAAGCTTGTTTATGATTATAAGATAGAATCCAGAAATAAATTTAAAAAAAAAAAAAAAATCTATATTTTCCTTATTTTACTTTTAAATGGACTAAGATTTTCTGCCAGGAAACAACACATTCACTCTGTGGTTAAAGTTTTTAAAATTTTAATAACTTTCTTATACTATTTTGGATTTGTACCAAACTTGGACAGAAGCTTGTTTATGATCAAAAGCTAGTATCTAGAAGGAAATTTTGTAAAAAAAATAAATCCATTTTTTCCATTTTTGACTTTCAAATGGACTTAGATTTTCTGCCAGGAAACAACACATTCACTCTGTGGTTAAAGTTTTTAAAATTTTAATAACTTTCTTATACTGTTTTGGATTTGTACCAAACTTGGACAGAAGCTTGTTTATGATCAAATGCTAGTATCTAGAAGGAAATTTTGTTTCCTTCCAGTTAACATTACATTCAGTCTGCAGTTAAAGTTTTTAAACATTTATTAGATTCATAAGCTATCCTGGATTTTTACCAAACTTGGACAAAAGCTTCTTACAATCAAAAGATAGTATCAAGAGGAATATTTTTATTGATTTACCTCCTCATTTTTGTTGAGCCTGCGATTAACAGAAAAAGTAGGCGAGACACTGGGTTCCGCGGAACCCTTACGAATTTTTCTAGTTTCCAGACAATAACTTGTGTTCAAGTGTATGGATCTCTCTGAAATTGTACTGCAAGGTACCATACCACAAAGGGAAGGCTGGGATTGAGTTTGGGGGTGATGAATCATAAGGGGGTTCAAAAAATTTGGGGGGGATTTTTTTTTCCTTTTTTTTCTTTAAAATTTTCCATTTTAAATTGGTTATTTCTGATTTATATATAAAAGCAAATAATAATGATATGGTTTGAATAGGTAAATTAAAAATTTTTAAGTTCTTAGACCACTTTCATTCTGTGTCAGAAACCTATGCTGTGTCAAATATTTAATTTCAATCCAAATTCAGTGCTGTATCAAGCTTGAATGTTGTGTCCATACTTGCCCCAACTGTTCAGGGTTCGACCTCTGCGGTCTTATCAAGCTGCGCCCCAGCGGATAATTTTATTTAAAATTATTTTGTACATTCTCCGAAAGTTTATTAATAATCAGTTGCCCTTTTTCTTTGATGGTCAAACTTTTCATTAATAAATTTTAGTCTGTTTAAAATTCTCTATGGTATGATTCTTTTTTATACGACCGCAAAAAAATTTTTGTGGTCGTATATTGGTATGACGTTGGCGTCGTCGTCGTCGTCGTCGTCGTCGTCCGGCGTCGTCGTCGTCCGGCGTCGTCGTCCGAATACACATTAGTTTTCGCACTCTAACTTTAGTTTAAGTAAATGGATCTCAATGAAATTTTACCATAAGGTTCAATACCACAAAAGGAAGGTGGGGATTGATTTTGGGGGTTATGGTACTAACAGTTAAGGAATTAGGGGCCAAAAGGGGCCAAAAATAAGCATTTTTGTAACTTCCAGACATAACTTGTGTGTAAGTGTATGGATCTCTCTGACATTGTACCACAAGGTTCCATATCACAAAGGGAATGCTGGGATTGATTTTGGGGGTAATTGCCTCCAAATTTTAGGAATTGGGGGCCAAAAAGGGGCAAAAAACAAGCATTTTTATACGACCATGACAATATCTTGTTTGTAAGTGTATGGATCTTTATGAAATTGTACTACAAGGTTCCATATCACAAAAGGAATACTGGGATTGATTTTTGGGGTAATTTCCTCCAAATTTTAGGAATTAGGGGCCAAAAAGGGGCAAAAAACAAGCATTTTTCTAGTTTCATGACAATAACTTGTTTGTAAGTGTATGGATCTTTATGAAATTGTACTACAAGGTTCCATATCACAAAGGGAAGGCTGGGATTGATTTTGGGGGTTTTCCCTCAAAATTTTAGTAATTAGGGGCCATAAAAGGGCAAAAAAAACATGCATTTTTCTAGTTTCAGGACAATAACTTGTGTGTAAGTGTATGGATCTTTATGAAATTGTACTGCAAGGTTCCATATCACAAAGGGAAAGCTGGAATTGAGTTTGGGGGTAATTGCCCTAAACGTTTAGGAATTTGGGGCCAAAAAGGGGCCAAAAAACAAGCATTTTTCTAGTTTCCAGACAATAACTTGTGTTCAAGTGTATGAATCTCTCTGAAATTGTACTGCAAGGTACCATAC